ATAACATATATAAGAAGGAAATAAAAAAAGTTATTGCACAGATGTAATTGCAGGGAAAAGTGAAGTGAGAATATGGGAGAGGAACAACTATGCAGACATCAAGGTCAGTGGAGAAGGAGGTGCTCCAGGTGCCAGAGCAGAGATTCCCCCACAGTCCGTGGTGAAGATCCATGGTGAAGCAGGCTGTCTTCCTGCAGCCCACGGAGGACCATGGAGGTGCAGAGATCCACCTGCAGCCTTTGGACGATACCCATGCTGGAGTAGCTGGATGCTCAAAAGAGAGAAACCCATGCTAGAGCAGGGTCCTGGTAGGAACCTGCAGACCCATGGAGAGAGCAGCCCATGCTGGAGCAGGTTTCCTGGTAGGATGTGTGACCCTGTGGGGGACCCACATTGTGACAGGCTATGCCTGAAGGACTGCATCTTGTAGAAGAATGACCCATATTGGAACAGTTTGTGGAGAATTGCTACCCATGGGATGGACTTATATTGAGAAGTTTGAGAAGTTCATGGAGGACTGGCCCCCCGGGGGGGACCCTAAGCAGGACAAGGGGAAGGACTCCTCTTCCTGAGCAGTGGAAGGGGCAATGTGTGATGAACTGAACACCCATTCTGTGTCTCCCTGCACCACTGGGAGGCAGGACATAGAGTCTGGGAAGGAGGGAGGCGGTGGACAGGAAAGTGTTTTTAAGATTTATTTTACTTCTCATTATCCTGCTCTGTTTTTTTTAGTAATAAATACAGTTAATATCCCCAATTTGAGTCTGTTTCACCTGTGATGGTAACTGGTGAGTGATCTGTCGCTGTCCTTATTTATCATGAAACCTCTGTTATATTTTCTCTCCCATGTCCAGTTGTGGAGGGGAGTGATAGAGTGGCTTCTGTGTGTGCCTGGCATCCAGCCAGGGTCACTTACTTTTACCCACTACATTTACCCATTACTGTCCCTGGGACTTAGATGAAGACTTGTTTTTTATTGCTCTACACTTTGCTGTAGAAAAAGTTCAAAAGGCATCTCTCCAAAACAGGTCTTTGGGGCTGTTCTTTGGAAGGTTAAAATAGGGAGCTGTGAATAAACCTGAAAAAATACTCAGGGAGCTGCCAAATAGTCATGTATCAGTGACTACATGGCTTGCTTAAAGATGCAAGTGGTTCATGGCAGTAGTTTAAATGGAACTCAATTCTCATAATTCCGTGTGAAACCAGTTTAAAGAAACTGTTTTAGAGAATGAGGAATAGTCCATACTCACTCATGTAGGAATCTCACTCACTTCTCTCATGTAGGAAGGTTTCAAAGAAAACCCAGAAGTAAAATGTTTTGGTTGTTTCCTTTAACACTCATCATTTCTCACCCAAGTCAGAGAGAAGACCATACAGATGTTTTCTGGCTATACCTTAAAGTTACTTTTTGCGGAGCTAGGTAAAAACAGCCCTTTTCTTTGCCTCAAAGAATTTAAATTGGCTTAGTTACATTAAGAAATAATATTAAGGGTAGAGGGAGAATGTAGGGCAAAACTATGTCACATTCTTAAACATCTACCATAACTAAAACATATTATTCATTTGATAAAATAATTTATTGAATTACACTTGGATTGCTTCATAAATGAGAAACATCTCCCACACTACTTGGTCGCAGCTGAAAAACACCATGTACATGGATAAGCATATTTCATTTATGGCCCCCCAGGGACTATTTCTGATATGCACACACCTCCTCAAGTGCTAAACTTCAGATATAAATATCAGATTCTGATCTCACTAATACTTATTTTACTTCAATAATTTTGGAAGTATTTCAGGACTGTACCAGGACAAAGAAACCTGATCTCATAAAAATTAAACCTCTCAAAGGCTGTCCAAATTACCTGTTTCCAAAGGTACATCTTACAGTGATGATGAAGCCCTTATGATGTCCTAGTACAGGGCAGGAAGAAAACTGCTTTTTGTGGAAGTTGCTGTGCAAAGGCTCCACATGATCCAAGGTATATCCAAGCAAAAGTAACTCCATTGCTGTGACTTGGGCGTGATCCAGTGATCAAACCCAGCATAAGCTGGTATTCCAGAGTATGGGCTGAAGCATTCTACACCACCAGTTCTCCTATTAAGTAAAATTTTTATAAAAAATACACACCTCTTACGACTATCTCTACATGAATAACTAAACTGAGCTGAAACAAAACCGCACTGAGAAGTCTGACTCCATTCACTCTCTATTTTTTAATATAATTTTTCCACCACATATTTTATAGGAAATAACTGCCACTACAACAGATCACCATCTTCTCTTTTATGGAATATAAAAAATGTAGGCTACATCAGGGTTATCCTTCCTCCTCTTCATGATCTACTCTCAGTAAAAATACAGGGCATGCTTCTGAGACAGGTTACAAACTTATCTTGGCTTGAGAACAATATAGTACCTCTCAGCAGCAACCATTAAAAGCTTTAAAACATATTTTAATTTGACTCAACTATCATTCATTACAAAAGCTTCTATTTATCTTGAAGTACAATAACATTGACTGAGAACTGCAAAGAATTTTTCAAAGAATGAAAGCCCAGAGAGAGAGTAGCCAAAGGTGCAAATGATTTGAATATTTTTTATTAATAAAATATTGCTATTGTTAATAAAAAGAAAAAATAAAATAGTGTTCATATCATGCATCTTCCTCCACTTAAGTCTGCAATAGTAGCAGTTATCACTGGCCTGATTCTGTGGCATGCTGAGGGCTTCCCGCAAAATGCTGAGCTTAAATTCTTTGTGATTATCTGATATCTTACCTGGAGCTTGTTCAAAGAATAAAGCTATGTGAAAAGCACATGTGAGCTTCTAAAATGACAAACTAAAATCTTAGATACATAGATTACGTATATTGACCACTATGTTATTATAACATAACTATGTAAAAATCCTTCTGATAGCTTATTGATTTAACGTAATTTAACTGAGCCCTATTTGCTAAGATACTGTATAAGCCAGTGTTTGGAAAGGAGCCAAAAGAAAAAAAAGAAGAAAGAGAGAGCAATCAGATTAAACTGTAAATCTGGGGTTGGCATAGGCTTAGCAAGCATTACAGAACATACAGAATGCAGAATGTGATACTATTTCTTAGAAAAACTAGTATTAAATAATAGACAAATGCCAGAGCCAAACAAACTACATCTCTTTCAATTCCTAAATATTCTATCAGCGGCCATATGACAAAGAAGCAGTATTAGGAAAAAAAGGTTCCACTGCTAAGCACCACTTTGTAACTGATACAAGAAGCATACCTGTCATTTTAGTTTATTATTGATATTGCAAGGGAAGATGAAAGTTCAGATTCTCCAGAAAAAAACCCACATCCTCTGACCTTAAATTGACAGCCTTGTCTATCCTACCTTAATTGCAGCAGAGGGTAAAAGAAGTTACTAAAATCTAGAACATTAGAACGAGACTAAGTAACATGGTAAGTGCAAATTTACCTTGTCAAACTCCTCTCAGTATTCTACACCATTGCTAATAAAATGCATTACATTAACTAATTACATACATTTAAACAGTCATCATCATTAGTTTATTACTTTTGTAACTCCGCAGTTTTGGGATATTGAGCAATGCCCCTCCATCACACATAGCCTACATCAGCGCATGCCCATGCTGACCTCATCAAGTAGCTAGAGTTACCCTTTCACCGTGAGTAAGTCACTACCATCCAAGTAAGCTCTAAAGAAAGACACTTTTCATAATCCCACAACAATCTGCGAAGTGAAACATATGGACAGGTTTAGGTAGAGCCTGCAAGGAGTCCTTACTAAATGGAAAACAGGTGCTCCTGTTCTCTGTAATGTCCCATTTATTGTTAAGTCCAATGGTTACAGGACTAACAGGTGCCTCGTGGTAATCAGGGAGTGAAGACACTGGCCATGGTCAAACAGCTGGGACATATTTTACATATTTGCATCATATGCTTCAGTTTCAATTAAAGTGAAGTTTTGGCATATTTATTATTCATGTAACTTTCTTTGCATTAGAAGACCCATTTTCCTGAGTCTACTATTATGCCATATGAAAAGAAACCAAGAAAAATGATAAAAGCCAGAGGCTATGATCAGCTGGTGTGACGAAATTTGCATTTGTTTTCCCACGAAACTTCGTTTTGCACATAGCTTTAAAAACATGCATACATGAACTAAAACAACACAAAAGTGCACCCTTCCATTTAGCCAAAAATATGTAACAGGAAGAGCAGTATGAGAGTATGTCTAGGGTATTAAAAAGGAAAAACCAGTCCTGTACTAGCTTTGAATGACAATTCAGTCCTAACCATGTGCTTATAATTTACAACCCTAGTGCAAAATAACGCACACTGCAAACATACTGAATATACGCGGTAGTCCACATACGCTTATTTTAAAAAGTGTAAGGTTTTTTCCCATTCAAACAGCATATTCAATCTTGAGAGCTCAAAACATTTGCAATAACGAAGACAGCTTTGAATTTATAAAAATCAACCTTAACACCTTCTGTACAGAAAGACAGCTCTTAAATATTCAATAAAAGGGCTCACTGAACACACACGGTAATGTCAGTACTCACTTTTATTCAACCTTGGTAACTAGATCTAGAAGAATGTTTGAACTCTAGTGTCAATTTGAGAAAGCTGAATATTAGATCACAACACTGAAACCTAGAGTGATATTTCTAATTAGGTATGTTTTGCCTGGCGCTTGCTAATCACCAGAGAACTGGGGGGAGGGAGGGCTGACCCCCGCCCTCACCTTCCCCTTTAAAGGAGTTTGTTTAGCAATTTCCAAAACCCACTAAGCACTAACTACATAGGCTGGCTTAAACTACAAGCAGTCAAGTACTGTTCTTTCTGAACCAATCGCAGTGTTTAAAATATACAGGAATACACACACTACTAGTATAATACATTTGCATCTGCTCTAATAATAAGGCAGAAAGAAACAGGAGAAAATGGCCTCAAATGGATGGCAGATCAGTGTTTATCTGAAAACAAATGATGATTCAAAGCCAGCATGTTAAGATAAAATACAAGCTCTTCACAGCTACATGATGGACCCTTGCAATAAATCACGTATTTTATTGCCAGAAGTGGATGCTCATATTATTTAGTGTTAAAAACTGTCACATATGTGTTTTGTAAAAGAAGGTTTTGTTATTACAATGTTTGCTCATTCTGAAATTATGTAGCTAACAATTTAAATGGCGCATAGAAGAATTTCACAAAATAGCTTTCTGTCAATTTTAAAATGTTTGACCTGGCAATGGAACAAGCAAAATAATCTTTTTAAAAATCATTTCTCACATTTTAGGTGTTAGCTAACAGAAAAATAATCATTCAGGGTATTAACTAATCATGGTGAATTTTCTGACATTTCAAATGCTACTGCCAGCATATGAATTCTTATATTCTTCATATAAATGTATATCTCAGCCAGAAAAAAGGTCAAGAGCATAAATACACTGTTTTTCTCCTCTCAGAAAAAAAAAAAAAAAAAGCTTTACTACAAGAGAAGTGGGGGGAACATCTGTGAAGGTCAAAATAATCTGAATTTTAATACATAGTTGTTGTAAAACTATCTTTTCCTTTTCTTCCACAAATAACACCTTTCTGATACGAAAATACCAGCAACAAAGGGGCTGTCTTCACTGCACTTGTCTCACCAGTAAGCCATCCTGCCAGTACTAGCCATTGCTTCTGTGGTGCAAGGTCATTTTAATTTCTTTTCTTTTTTTTTTTTTTTTTTCCCCTCTCCCTGGGGGATAACCAATCCAAGCAGTCTGATAGCTGGGCTAAATGTGGAAATCAGTTGTTGTTCACTGTGGTTGCAATACTCAACCCAATCAGCAGCCTCTAAACTGAACCGCGTCCACTCAAATAGCTGAATGATCCGCCACAGTTTCCCACCTTGCAGGGCCACAATGCAAACTTCAAATCAAGTGGATATCTAGGAGAATCGTGATTATTTGAATGTCATATGGAGTGCAAAACATTTAAGCCATTCTCCAACCAAGTAATTCTTTTAAAATTTTAGATGTCAATATCCCAACTTCAACCAGTATGGAGTTGCTATTTCCATACCATTTTTCACCTGAAGTGCAGCCCTATTTGTAATATTCAAGACAGGTGGAATTTTTGTCCTTCAAAAACAGTTGTTGCTGCAGTTATCTTCACAAAAGCTATCAAGTTCCAGACATGCTGAATTATTTTTGTTCCTGGCAAAAAAAATATTTGACCCAGCTCTGGACTGGGAAAAAAAAAAAAAAAAAAGAAAGAAAGAAAAAAAAAAAAGGCAGGATTTATAGACCTCTATCCTTTTCTGCAACACACAGTAGCATTATTAGGATGATAAACAGATCTGTCCAATTTTCTGGACTAAAACACTTCAACTCCTTTTTTAACTGTCGGTAAAAACAGTGTCATGTCTAAATTCTCCCATCCCCAGATACCCAAGTGCTAGGAAACATAATTACCTTGTCATCTCTGTCATCCTCTTCTTCCTCGTCCTCTAGCATGTCCTCCACTACCTGCAGACAGAAACAGTAGTAGTTGTCATGATTTAAAAAGGAAGAGTTTTGTTCTGTCAATTCTAAGCCTTTTGTAGATGAAAACTTTATTAACACTTGAAATAAATTCAGAGGGAAAATGTACAACTAGGAAAAAACACTTGATCTAGAGATTCAAATTTAGGAAAGCATTATAGCTTTAATTGACCTACATTAGGGAATTATATACTGAAAATCCTTCCTGCACAAAATGCTTGCTTGACAATTTAAGTATTTAAAAGGTAGTTCAAAATTCAGTATATGCTTGCTTTAATTAAAGGAATCCTTTGTCAGCTCCACTGGTGCCTACGCAGCACACACATATGCTAACTTCAAATTTACTGTTACCTACATAAAAGTGCAACATTTTTAATAGAATTTACAGTATTCACCAAGAGATTTTTGAAGAATACAAAGCTGGGAATAAATTCGTAGTAGCTTATCTCCTTATAATCTTCAACAATGATATATGCCATATGCTCTATCAGCATTAGCACTGTGTTTCTTAATAGTAATTTTATACAATCTGTGCATTTAACTTTATGCACATTCATTGGTAGCTGCAGCTGCCACGTATCTGTGTCTGTGTAATTTTCCATATTAAGTTTTTCAGTCTAGCACTGGGAAATATACACATACACACTCAATTCATTCTACAAATATTATAATTATTCATCACACCATGAGCACGAAATGAACCACTAAATCTAGTTTACAGAGATTAAATGACTTTCCAAAGATGGGCAGTAGCAGATTCAGACTTAAAACTCAAAGATCCCTCCCTCATGACACTGTGATCAATGACCCTAAGAGGAAAATTCTCTGTTGGTGGAATGAAAAAGAGCTGTACCTCCTTATAACCAGAAAATAATGTGCCTCTTCGGATCCTTATTTAATCTAAGTGCGTATTAGGATATAAGAAGAGCCATAACAAAGGTCAACAAAGATCCATCTAGCCAAGTGTCCTATTATGAATGCAAAAATTGTATACATATTATAAAACATACACACAGAGGAAAAGAGAAGGAAAAACTCACTGATATGAAACAATAATAATTTGGCCTATTTTACAGACTTGCTGCCCACTAAAATGGTAGTTTATTATGTGATATAGGGGATGCTACAAACAATTTTAGTGTACTTGTCATTTAAGACAACATATTAAAATTACAATTTCATAATCAGCCCCCAAACACAGCTGTAAGGATATTCCCAAATCCATGTCCAAGAACTTAAGGGACTTTTACATTATCCAAGAGTCAAACTCAGGTACGAGAAGACTGGAAAAATAAAAGTGTGTGTATTGGTTTCCTGTCTCAGTTAGCTCAAATATTAGGAAGGTCACGGTTAGTCATGTTAAGTGGGCCCAGGCAAAATATTAACAACGCACGGTTTGATGTAACGTGCACATCTAGTAGAGCACTGTGCATACACGCAAGTCAACTGCACAGTTCAAAACATTTCCAGTTTCAGCTGCTCCTCCTTGTTTGAACTCTGTTCCAAAACACCTCTAACAACAAAGGAACGTCTAGTTCTGTCTACTGCCTGCTCTGTCCTGGAATTTACAATCAAAGATAAAACTAGAAGCACAAAGCAACCATAGAAAGCGAGCACGTCGAAAAGTATGAGAAGGAAGCATGACCTGAGCAATTAAGGAATTACTCTTGAATTCCTTCCTGCCCAGGACAGAAATTTTAGCAGGAGGAGCCTGACTGACTAAACTTTCTGTAGCCTCTGACCTGATGCCAGACAGGCAGGTGTACTTCTGAGTCCCCTCAAGCTGAAGAATAATCCAGGCTGTGCTCTTGCCACTATCCATAAAGAAGTTTCCCTCCTGTTCTTTGCTGCCCTTTTAGACCAGGTCTGCTCCATCGCTCCAAAAAAGGGGATCAGAAACAGTGACAAGAGAGTTTTGGTCACAGGGAAATGTTGAGAGCACATTGCTGAAATGAGTGTCAGCACCTGCTTAGCTCAGTACACTGTCTTACACATCAAATTTGGAGGTGTCTGAGACGTCCTGTCTTCACTGACCTCCCTGTGAAAAAAACGGCATTTCCTGTTTTGCATGCGCCTGCATCACCTTCTTGTCCCTTTCCTGGTAGCTCACTGTCATCTTCCCAGGCCTGTTCCAAGTCTTTGGGGAGCTGAACTGTAAACTGCATCACTGGGCAGAGTTCTTCAAAAAAATGCATCTCAAACTTTTAATGCAGTGATCCAGTTTACTAAGCAGCTCCAGGAACACTCCACCAGTTCTACCAATAAAATGATGAACTGAAAAGAGAGGATGAAAACAAACTGTTGAGGGCTGCAGCAAGATGAAAAACCTCTTAAATCGGTTTTGCCACATGCAAAAAACCCACTTAACTCCATCAGTAGTTGACTAAAGTCCAAGGTATAAAACAGATCTGTTGGCTCACATACTCCCTACTGCCTGGAGCTGACTAAACTCACTAAGTCTCTTACTTTTCAACTTTTCAATATTCCCCAGACACTAAAGATCTCTTTTATGTACATCCAGAAATTCCTTGTCTTGACAGGGTTGAATAGCCAAATGCCTATCTCCCATTAGCATTAAAGTTAGCAATAAGACCATCAGTTGAATTGGACATCTCTAAAATTATTGCAAATGATGTCAGAGAAATCACTTGCACAACAATACCTACTCTAAATTACCTGGATAATACTACTTTAGTGTCTCAGTTTAATTGAGACAAGGGTCTTTTGCTGAGGATGGATTAGGGGAAAAAGACCCAAACCTTTTTTTTCTAGCAATTATAGATTCGAAATTAAGAGACTCCGATTGAAGGAAAGCAAATTATGGAAAAGGGAAAAAGGAAAAATAACAGCCCTTTATTAAGTATGTGTGTATTAACGTAACACGAGGGAAAAAAGGAAGGGAAAAGAAACCAAGTAAAACAACCAAACAATACCCTTATACCCACCAATAATCCCCTTCA